CTTTGAAATTGATTGAGCAACAAGATGACGATACCGATGATAACGAGCAATTAATTGTATATAATTCAGTAATTAACAGCTTTTGTATATTATAAACTCATTGGCAGTCTAGCTAACATTCTACTCAATTAGGACGAATTTGAAAATTCAAATAGCATATTTGGTAATCTTGTATTGAGTTGGTTAAATCACGATTACAAGGATTATGAATTAGCTCTAGAATATACAAATAATGGTCGTAATATAGTGATTAAGTACGGTAAAAGCATAGGATGCGAGTTAGATAGGTAGGAAATTTGAGAAAACGTTCCAGAATGTCTTATATTTACTAAGCAATTTTATTTCATTTTTTTTGCTAGAGTTTTACAATCTTTAGAATTGTGTATGGCAAATTGCTATCTTAATATCGATGTCAAGTATCATATGGATGCATTACAGCTTTATCAAAAAATTTTGCAGAAAGAACCTGATCATGTCCTTGCCCTTCAGGTGATATACTTAGCAGTTCTTATATGTTAATTATAATTAATTGATCTTAAAATTCTATTTTGAATAGGGAGTTGGAATGATATTGTCAGTACAAAAGCAATTCGAAAAATCCATTGAAATATTTGAAAAGATATTACAACTTGACTCAGAAAATTATATAGCTAAAAGTGAAATAGGATGGATCCATTTTTTAAAAGAGAACTATGAAGAAGCTATTAAATTGACTCTGGATGCTATTGAGATGTATGATGAAAGTGCACTTTGTTTTTATCGTTTAGGTAGAATATATTGGGCCATGGGAGGTATGAGTCCTATTTAAATTAAATGTTAATATGATAAAGACTCAATAAAGATGAATTTTCATTGTTTAACAGAACAACACCGTAAAGATAAGAACTACGCATACGCACAGTTCATCAAATCAGTAAAGCTTGATCCACACTTTGCGAAATCGTTTACATATCTCGGACATTATTACCGAATTATCGAGCATGATCATGGGCGCGCAAAGAAATGCTATCAAAAAGCATTTTCTATTGATGCGTGTGATGAAGAAGCAGCTTCAGAATTAAGCGAATATTTCCAGTCGGAAGGTGAAGGGAATATTGCGGAAGGCATATATCGTACTGTAATTCAAGCAAATCGTAAGGCTGGATGGGCCTGGAAACGATTGGGGTTTACGGAGTTGGTAATAGATTTGTATATTGTAGTGCACTGATTAAGATACCTTTTTTCGGTATTCCCTGTAAAATGTCCGGTGCAAAACAACAAGATTTTTATTAATCAATTGCAGGATTTTTCAGAATCCTGGACTGCTTATTATAAATAATTTGAATATTTCTTTTTACGATATGAATCTTCTGCTGTTCAATATATCCGGATGTTTTATAAGTTTTGTTTGATATTTTGCATTAGATTTCAGATCCTTTAGTCAGTGCATTACGATAATTTATTGATTTCTGAGTTCTTGTAATTTTATATGAATAATTTAAATTTCTCAAATATAGGCCAAAGGAAATTATTCAGAAGCAATAACAGATTTTCAGACCGCTTTGAGAACTGATACTAAGGATATCCGTTGCTGGGAAGGACTTGCAGAAGCTTATCGTCATGAAGGTCGATATATGGCCTCAATGAAAGCTTTTTTGCACACAACTGAGTTGGATCCTTCATCAGTATATACTCATTATCAAATTGCTACAATAAAGCAAAAATTGGGTATGTATACTGAAGCAATCGATCAATATAATTTGACTCTCGAAAAAGCGGAACTTAAAGGTGAAAAAGATCACATGCCGTCATTGGAAGGTCTTGGAAATTGTTATCTGTCTTTATCTAGAGAATATTTTCACACCGGATTTTACGGTCGTGCAGCTGAATCAATAGGTCATGGTGTCGCAATAGTAGCACGTGCTATAGAGACAAACAGTAAATATCTGTGTCTTTGGAAATTAATCGGTGATTTTTGCATCACTTCGATATCATTGCCAAACTATTTACATTTGATACCTTTGGCTCCAATTAAAAGTCTTATAGAAATTGCTAAAAAACTGGATATAGATGCTAAATTACATTTTCCCAAAGATATTGATTATAATCTATATTTAGATTCTGACAAAGATAGTATAACAAATTCCGACATGCTTCGGATCATTCTAGTTTGTGGTTGTCTCTCATACAAATATGGCATAATATTGAGTGGAAATCGACCTGAGACTGCTCCTGCATTGTGGTATGATCTGGGTGTAGCTTATTATAAATCGTATGAACATTATTCTAAGAATATTGGAGAGAATGTAGATGATCACGTCAATGAAACATCAGTGACAAGTTATTTAAGTATTGGAATTAGGTGCATTAAGATAGCATTGAAATTTGAACCAACGAATTTTCAGTTTTGGAATTCGCTTGGTGTTATGACTCTTTTGGCAGATACTAAAATTAGCCAACACGCGTTCATTAAGGCAATTGATTATTCTGCAAAAGTATGTGTGAATTTATTATATTTAAACTTTGTTAAATGGTGTGACAATAACGTATTCACGTTAATCTAGAGTCCTGTGCCGTGGACAAATCTTGGGCTCTTATATTTATTACATTCGGACTTGGACCTTGCTAATCAAGCATTTTCAACAGCTCAATCTCTTGATCCAGATTATGCACCAGCGTGGGTTGGACAAGCTTATGTTGCAAATCTTTGGGGAAGTAATGAGTCTGCAGAATTGTTTGAACATGCTTATGAAATTAGTGGTGGTGGCCATTCAGTATGTTATCAGTCCCAGACAATTTCGTCTGATTTCATTAATCTACTTATTAACCATGAGTATAATTTTATTTTATTTTATTTTTTTTATAGCTTGAAGCGGATTATGGTTTTGCATATCAGGCATTTACACGATACAAAAATTCTCCATCAGTGCACAAAACTTTGTTAATGTCACCCACTTTTGCGTTGCAAAAACTTTCAGAACAAAAACCGGATGATGCTGCATCACTAAATCTATTAGGCTTATTGTTTGAACGACTTAATCGACCAGATAGAGCCGTTGATGCATTCAATGATGTGATCGTTGCAATTAAAAAATCATTTAAAAAGGAACAGCAGTCAGCATCCCATTCGGGGGCATTATCTGAAGATTCACAAGAATCGCGATCTAGACAGATAATGTTATTGCGAAAGCTTGCATACGCACACGGAAATCTTGGGAGAGTACTTTGTGCAACACGTAGTTTTTCTAGTTCCATCATAGCATATACGGAAGCTTTGAAATTGATTGAGCAACAAGAGAATGGTTCATCAACTTCGATGGTATCATTTAAAATTTATACAATGTTAGGAGC